TGGAACTCTAAACATTTACAAGACGTCTGTCTTTCGTTTTGATTAATTTATTTTGACATTTATGTTGCTTAGATGGGGTTGGTCTATGTTGATGTCTTGGTAATGTACTAGTCCCCTTCCTTGCTTAATTCTACCGTATTAGGATCAATTATATATTTTCTCTGCAAGTAGTTATGTTTATCCGAGAAGAACGGTATATGCATTCAATAGCTTCTTTAGAATCATTACAGTGCTTTTCTTTGTTCTCTTTGTTAAGGCGATAACATGTGAATTTTTAGATGAAACTCAAAGGAATGAATAAGCTGGGGTTTCTATATTTACAGAGTTGTACACTTCACTTCTTTTCTAGTGCAAGTTCGTGTGACTGATGCATCTCCCTAATTTTTAACTTATAACAATATTTTACAATATTTTTAACTTATAACAATATTTTACAATTGATAGAAAGTTCAATGCATCAACAAAATCAACTCATTCATCACCAACAATTGGTGCTTGTTTGTTCATACTCATTCATCACCAACAACTTCAAAATTGATTGTTTTATAAAGGAGTAGTACTAAAATGCTTTAAGATTCACATTTTCAAAAAAAATCTGCATGTTTACGGGATAAAGATATGCCTAGAACCTTTAAACATCACACCAAATATCACTCAAGTAATAACTTAAGTTGTGTATTGGTTGTTGAGCACTAAATGACCAAAGTTGCTTCCCTCCAATAGTTTGCTTATAAATAGCATGACATGGCTTGTTTGGATTCCAGTGAAAGACTCTTCCATCTTTGTGACATTGTAGAGGTCAAGTAGATACAATTTGTTCCATCTCAAGAAGTTATCTTCGAGTACATGGGTTCACCCATTGGAAGCAAGGGGCCATTGGACTGCAATAAATATCTTCCCATACACAGATCGTTCCCGTTGTTCACCATCCTCATCGAATCTGACGATGAGGATGTTGTGTTATCAAATGGTAGGAGAATAGTTTCACCAATTCCTTTTCTCAACTTGGATGGCGTTTTTAGTCGAGCATCTCAGTCACTGAACAATGGAGTTGATGATGTTTTCGACAACATCTACATGGTTTCATATGAAGATAACTCCGGAAACGATGAGTTAAAACGAACCCTGGCTATATATTAACATTTAGCTGCGTCTCGGAAAAAAAGAGGAACCGGGTATTATCCTGTTTTGCCTTCCGCCGATGTTAAAGACAGCATGCATCCTTTTAATGATATTCGTCCAGTACAAAAGACTGAAAAAACTTGCTGTTTTTGATCCTATATTTGTTCAAATCAAAATGTACTCACTGCTGAGGTTATTGTCCATTCTCTGTTTGTTTTTTACTCGACCCTTGTTTGCTCTGCAAGTAACACAAAAAATTTATGCCGATTGTAGTTCAGCAGATGCAAAGAAGATTCTTCACTGATGAGAACAGGAGAAGAAAAGAGCAACAGTAAGCAATAACGAAAGATTATTTTGTAATATAAGTTGTAGTCCTGTAGATAATACTAACTACTAGCATCATGAGTGAAACGCTAAATCTCAATCATGAAGCTGGAATTTATCAGCTCCAGCCCACAATGAACACTATTGATTAGGCAATAGCATCGGTAAATAGTAAACAGAATAGCAATTTTACACCCAGTTGATATTTACTTATGAGACTTTAATGAAGTTATGGTTTAAAGCCTTACAGAAAAACATGATGCGCAGTTCTTCAGCAGCGGAGAGCAATGACAACGAATAGGCAAATAACCGGTGATTTTTGACTTCTTATCGCTTACGTTAAGACTCCCCTTAATCACCCCATATATTTCTGTTTAGCTAGCTTGTACATCTCAAAAGGCTCCACATTTTTATATATTAAGAAGTTGCTATGGGATTCTCTTTTGATCTTAAAAGACATCAGAACCATCTGTTTCCATCACCAAGTTTTGCTAACCTTAACAATCCTTGCACAATGACCTATTTACCTTCCTCCTAAGGATAAAATATTATCAACTGCTCTGTCACCTCTAAAAGTCATGAAGTGAGTATCTTTGTTGAATCATGTATTTGTCATCACCAAATCATAGTAATTGCAAAATCTATTATAGCATTACATCCTTCATATGATTCATTAAGCCAAAATCATCATGAGCTCTTCACATCTTAAATTCCTTCTTTACATGGAGACCCTCATATCCCAATCATGAAACTAAGTCTTATTCCTAACAAACTTGGAGTCGCCTCGATTTATCCTTCTTTCATATTGGATCAATTTATCGCTATAACTATTCAAAAATAAGATATAAAATCTTCTGCAATCACATTTAACCACATTAATCTTGATCACCTCTTCCCTTTTCTAACTTGATATTCTACAACCATATTACTATTAGTGTTATCAAGAGTATTTTCAAAAGACTTTTTAAACATGAGATGCTCTCTATTTTAAAGAGTCAACCTTTAAAATCATGCTTCAAGAGACTTTAAATTAACAGTTTAATTTAGAGAGTGGATTTGGAGAGCCAAACTCACTCTCTATAATTAAATGCATTCAAAATGTTGAATGTAGGAAAATAATAAAATAATATAAAGAAAACCTAGTTAAAATAAAAGATAAAGAAAAATAATAAATATTTTGAGGGAGTAGTAAAATTAAGTGTTAAATATAAAGAGTTTGTTGAAATACTTCAAAATTTGGAGATCATATAGAATTCACATGGCACTATTGAGTTTCTTACGATTTATCTGTCTCCCTCCTACTTTTACCAACTAAAAACATATCTTTAATGAATAACATACAAATCATATCTTGGAAATGTCTCATGAACTAAAGCAAAAATATAAGTACTTCGGATAGAATCTTAATGCAAGACCATATCAAGAGGAATTTCTCTGCTACTATCGCTATTTGTCTATCTCATTTGTCACCCATCGATAATTTTATAGTATGACTAATTATCTTAATACTTGTGTAATTTGTACAATCTTGATTATCTCCTATATTCGAGTAAGTAGGCACTATATAACTCCCTATCAATCCATCTCATGGCGTTTAAATCATCATGTCTCATTAAATAATATTATCAACCACAA